GGAACTTTCCGGACAAACTGTGTATATCGGTACATGCGCGCGCGTCGCTCGTTCGTCTCTCGGCGCGTTAAATCTTTGTCTCTCGGTTAATTCTTCTTCGTCTGTTTCTCGGTCTGATGTGTCTCGGGGCTATATGAAGATACGAGTTGTTTGTATAATTTCGAAATGGGTTAAGCGCCCGTCGCAGCATCGCGTCGGGGAGGTCAATAACTTTTTCTTACCGCGCGCGATAGAACGTCGTTATCCGCATGTGTCTTCCGCAAGAANGCCCGGTATCCAAAGCAATAGTGCTTACTTTACATTCTAATGCTTCCAGGAGTATAACATCTCGAATTTCTATTAATTTCATGGCCCCGTGACTACCAATCTGCGATCGTTTTGTTGTTACAGAACAAAATCTCTCGGCGAGCTCACGTATACCTGATTTTATTGATGAATCAACATAAAATTCGCAAACTTTGCACATATCCGGATCTGAAATATTATTCTCTATCTATAGGTGCGTGCAGTAATTAAATATCGTCAAAATATAATATAAATTCCAATTGAATTAATTTCAATACGAGCGATGGTTCCACATTCGTGAAAGCTGATATTGAACGTAATTGCTGAGGCGTTAATATGCTGCGATAAAATGAACGTAGTTANGCGTGGTCTGGAAAGATTCGTTAACGTTTACACTTTCAAGAGCGTTCTCTCTCGAAATTTATCCAAAAGAGAAAATGAGCAATATAACTGAAAAACCAGATTACGTTAGCGCGCTACTAGAGATGAGAGAGATGAAAAAATTTTACTTTTGACCCGGAGATGACAAAAACTAATGGGAACCGAAAGTACAGCACCCAGTACACTGTTATTGTTGCTCCCGTGTTCGTAAAAACTTTCAGCATGTACGCAGCAAAATTTCACCGCGAATGCTGCTAATTAGCGGCGTTAGACACATAACGAGCGCCCCACCATCAGCGTAGCTATTGCGATATTTTAAGCTTTTCAAGGCGCTTGTTTAAATATTGGCACATTTCTGCGGAAATATNCATTTGGAACAACTTTTCAGCAAAGTGCGATATATATATATATATTTTTTTTTCAAACAAATTTAGCTTTGTTTTATTACTCCGTATTGCGATGTATTCGCAATTTTTTTTATAAGAGGAACAATTCGCGAGGTCGATGAAATTTATATCAAAGTAAATATTTGTTATGAACAGCTTAGCAACAATCTCTGAGAAGGAATATTTATTATCTCGGCGTAAAAAATAAATTAANATTTATGTTATCATTTATCCCCTGTACGTTTCAAAGCTTTGTGTTGTTTTATTTCTTTTTTCTTCTATTTCTTTTAATTTCATATCCCGTAGTCATAAAGAGAAAGAGAGAAAGAGAGAGAAAGAGAGAGAGAGAGAGAGAGAGAGACAACTCAAGTCAATCTATGTAATATTCATAAATGTGCAGAGTCGCTTCGCGATATACACTATAATGCAAAAAGTTTCACGGGGATAAGGTACGGCGAGATAAAGCCGGAATATAAATGATACAGGTACGCGAGATTAATCTCGTGCAAATNTCCGAATCGATTTTTCAATGAATCCCGACATCTGAATACATAAAGTCACTTAAATTGTACTAAGGTTCGTGGAAATTCAATCGAGTGTGATGGACATTCGTGTTCGGGTGATAAATCACTGTTTGTGGATGTTCGCGCGAAACCCATAAATCGTAATTCTTCCAAATTCGAATGTTCGCGCGCCATATGTTCTCACGATCTCACGGAGAGTAACAGAGCCGACGCGAAAAGTTACGAATGCGCGTTGCCGATTATTTATTTCCACTTTTTTTCTCTCATTTAAAAAACTTGTAAAACAAATAAGTAAAATTACATTTCTACGTGAGAGCAAAATTAATAACATATATGAGAGATAAATATTAAAAAAAAATAAAAAATGTTAATAAAAAATTATGTAATTATTTTAAAATTAGTTAGGAGGGTATACGGGGTCCTTCATATATATGTGATGCAAATTCAGCATCCTATATGGAGGAAAAAAATTATTTCAAAGTATATATGTGTATACATATATACATATATTTAAGCACATTCTCTGCACAACATCCTGCAAACGGCTCTTACAACCGAATTTATATCATTCATTAGTTTAAAAAATTATGTATTATATTACGAGATCAAGAGAAGAANAACGCATTTATTGTTGTAACTTTTCTTGTACAAAGTTGCGGAGAATAACAGATTTTCCTCTCTCTCTTCTTTAAGACCTAAACCATTGGAATGAACGGATGAATGAAGAGCCATCGAGCAATAATCGAGCCGCAAGCGGTTAAACAAACTTCTCACATGTGCGATAGACGAATGGAAACCGTAATGCGATTTTCTCCTCGACATTCTCTCTATTATGCCATCCCACTTAGACGTGATATTTACTGTGCCACGTGATATAGCTTCAAGATCCGAGTCCTTCCTCGAGGCGATCTCCTGCGCGCCAAATCCAAGAGAGCTCCGCGATATCAATTATCACATTAATTACCATATATTCTCTACGAGCTTGTCGGCGAGCTTTTCAATGAAATTGACGACAATTCNAAATCATTGTCGTCTCGCAATGCCGTTTTATGTCTTTTCGCGATTTGTTGCAGCTCATACAAACGCAAAATACGTATAAAAATAAAATTAACATTCTGTGCGAGTCAAACAAGACGTTTTAAACATTATATTATAAAAAACATTTTATTTATTTACATATCTTGCAGATTTCGAATACTTGTTTTTTAAACATTGGCAAAATGTATTAAAATCAAAGGATTAATAGTTACATCGATGTTAAATTGCAAAAATTAAATTGCTTTTTAATACACACGCGTTACACATATCAAGCGATATAAAATAATTTGATCGTCGATTATGATGTTATCGATATTTAGAGCCCCAATTATAGGTGGAGTATCACGAATATCGCAATTTCAATTCACGTGTGTGTGTGTGTTTTTTTTTCAGGAAGCGAGCCGTGGTTGAGAAGTGAAAAATTCGNGGAATTAGGAACGGAGGTCATGTTGCCTTGCGTCCTGAAATCACCGCAGTGCGAAGGTCTGCACAGCATCAAGTGGTACCNCGGATCCACGCGCATCTTAATTTTCAGCGAGGACGCTGGAANCATACCCGGCAATGGCGATATCGCAAACAGGTAATTAAAGCNAACACGTACCCGTGCACACGTCGTGTACACATAATGAGTCGATGAGTTCAGCAGAAGCTCTAATTAGGTTGACCCTCTTGCATTTTTTTAAGCGGTAAACTAAATTCTGGGTGTTCCATATTTCCGCATTTCTCGTTGTCGTGACGAAAAAATTTCGATATAAGCTCGCTAAAATTCCCAATATCGACGACCGAAATATCGACACACACAAATTGAAGGTAAATGAAACGTTCAATTCACACTTCACTTGCATTTAACATAACACGTCGGTTATATTTGTCGAGACATAACAAAGTCATAATAAAAAAAAAAATAAGCGCATTGATACGTATAAAAAATACAATCTGTGAAAATCAGATTTTAGGATATTTTATAGCTAGCGTCGATATACAATCGTTTCTTTTATTTATATTGAATAGTGAAGATATAAAAGGTATGAAATATTGGAACAATTTTATTTGCGGGCTATAAATCTATGTAACTTATATACGTGTCGAAATAAAACGTACCAATCTCTTTTTATCAAATTACACGTCACTTTACGTTTAAACAAAAAAAAACAAAAAACACACAATTACTCGCTATTATCCGAATTAAGAGCTCAAAAGCCGAAATATGGAACGCGTTTATATTGTTAAAATAAACAAATAATTTATTTAATTAAAGTTAGTATTACGCATCAATTAATTATATCTTTTACATTAAAATTGTGTAAAATGTACATCTATTATTGAAACTTAAAAGGAGAGATTGTGCAAATTAAGAAGCATTTCTTATAATTTGCAAAACGGGAGAGGAATTTCAATAATGATTTACAATGCCGCAACAATTTAATTACGCGATCGCACAAGGGAAACAATGTAGTTTATAGGCTACATATTTTATCACTGCTGATTAGCGGTGCCACACATTGTCTCATCAACAATACATTAATGACGCCGTAAACGGTTCGTCGATCAAACAACGCGCCGAAACTAGCCAGCCGCGATCACCTGCATTTAGCGCCAGAGCGTAGAATTTACGCCCGTACAAAACCATTGATTTCGTCATACGAGATCCATTTTATTGGGGAGAAAAAAAAAACGAAAAATAGATACGTAAAACACGATATTTTAGTAAAAAATTGCCCAAAACGTTTTAATCCGTTCAATAAAGACGATATCGGGATCTGAAAATAACCCGTCTGTATTACAAATATTGAATGCGTACTTTGTGACACTGATTCGCGCCATCGTTTTTATTTTTTAGTTCAATATTTTTCCAATTCCAACATTGTAATTTTGCGGAAAACTGAAGAATAAAAGATCACTAATTATGATCGGTCTTCCGGTTCTCAATGTGTATTTTCACGCGTATTTTTTTCTCATATCTGTAGCGATAACTCAAATTACAAGCAATCGACTTATATGACGAAGATATAAATTATGTTGAGATTTACGATGAATATTGAATAGCAGCTTGTCTACTCTACTTACTTATATCTACAGTTATGCTCAGTATCCATCGAC